TGATAGGGCTAGGGCAACCATTAGTAGCGATCAGGCCGCTCAGATCTACGGCGGAATCGCGATCGTCGACTATCGGGCCAAGAAACCTGCTCCGGCGGCCGCCGATTTTCGATTTCGCGATTAGTGGTCTGTGATTGTGATAGCAGTATCGGTATATGTTATGGCGGCCACTTAAATGTAGATATCTAAAAGTTATCTAATAATTATAAGTTACTTTACTAAACTTTTATTTTTCTGTTTATTTTCTGCAGACCAATAATTAACGTCTCTCTCTTGTTATCAGGAAGATGTCATGAATTCGAATATCCTATTCTACAGATTTTTTAAAATAGAAACCGAACCCATGTGAAAACGAACAACTCATATTCACCATAAAAATAATGCGTAGTTATGATCAATTGATAATTTTATTTATGATAGATATGACCAACCATACAAAATCCATATTTAAAAATTAGCTGGGAGATCATTCTTTGAAATTCTAAATTAGAAGAAAAATACACCACCTAAAAGGTGGATTAGGAACTTAATTAAAGATTCATTTAAGTTATCCGAGAATATTATTTAGTACCTTTCATCCTTTCCCAATCGTCCTTCATTCCTGAAGACAATATTTAGATGTTTTTATAATAAAACGTTGTTGGAGAGATATAGTTGAAATCTATAACTTAGGGTTTAAAATGAGGTTGTTTTAATATGGTTTAGATATCCCATATCTTCACTGCTACAAAATTGGTCTAGTTATGGAAAGTAAAAAAGTTTGGAAAATAAAAAAAATTGTCACAAATTGTATGGAGGGGTGATTTTTGAAAAAACGCTATTTTACGAATTTTAAAAATTTTATAACCTGTCACGAAAACTTGATTTGATTTACGATTTTTTCCAAATTTTATGACATTTTATAACTATCACGAAATGTCATAAAGTTCATAATTTTTTAACTGACACGAAATGTCATAATTGTTTTTCAAACCATCATTTATGACATTTTTTAATTGTCACAAAAAGCTATTGTTTTTTAAACATTTCCCAATAATTTACGAGCATATTTCTCCCGCTCGTATACTTTGTCCTACAAAAACTTCAGGAAGTAATAGTTCTATCTCACATTTGTTAACTTCGCGTATGGAGCTTTACACAAATCACATGTCTTTTCTCATTTTTAAAACTCTCTATCTATTTATTTACTTTGAATTTTGTGGATCTTTTTGAAATCTTCCTGTGTTGTTTGGTTATTGTTCAATCCAATGCTCCTCAAGTTTTCAAGTTAAACCAATTCAATTTTTTAATTTATGTCTTGAAATTCTTTCCCGGTGATTTCGAACTTAACTTTGAATTTTAAGACTCATACAATTGAGTTTCTATATTTGAATTAGAGTAAATGGTAAAAATCAAATGATATAATATAATTTTGAAATTCATGGATTCCTGTAAAAGTTATTATCGTTGTTGGTTAAGTCTTAAATCCAAAGTTGGAAATCTAAAATTGGGAAAAGAGATTTCAACTTCACGACAACTAAAATTTCAAAGCTCGGAAAAGATTTTCTTAATTAAATCTTAAATAGATGTTTCTAACTTTTTATTAGATCTGTGCTTAAATTTAGAATCTAAAACAGTTCAACATCATTCTCAAATCTTGTAGAAATTTAATTAAATGTTTAAAATATAAATTTTGAGAAAATAGGAGGGTGAAACCTAAAATGTTCCTTTCATTTATGAAGTCCTAAACCCACTCATTAATTTCTTTTAAGAAAAAATTAAAATTAAGAAAAGGTATTGTTATATTTAATTAACAAAACAATTATAGATTTAAAAAAATTTAGAATGTCCTATTTTAAAAGAGTTTATTTACAATTAGTTCAAATCTATGACATGAAAAAAATATTACAAATGGTTTTAGTCATGGTTTTATTTTCAAGTGGAAAAAGCGTAGCTTTGAGAATTGACTTTAACTATTTTGGGATTCATGGTTTGTAATGGGAGAGATTTATGATTATTAGTTCTCACAAATACCTCACAAACGAATAGTTCCATTTCACATTTTTCAACTTTGCACGGACACCTTATACAATGAGGTTGAAAATATTATTGGTGCCGATTTTTGATGGTAAGAAAAAAGGGAGATGTACTACCACGTTTTACTCTTAGAAATTAGTTGTGGAACTTCGAGACAAAATTAGTGATGACAAAAAAATCCACGAGACTCGATCCGTACGGATACCCGACCTGATCGAGTTAGGAAATCCCCAGTTTGAACGAGGACGGGATCAAACCGGGGATCCTAATCGAGGTCCCCGGCGGGATGGAGGGAAGTCTCCCCGCCCTGTCCCCGTTCCCGTTTAATATTTTATTAAATTGTATTTTATGTATATAAAATAGTCTTAATATATGTTATTTTTTATAAATATAGTTTTTTTAATTTTGTAGTTGTATTTAATTAAATAGGTTCTCTGCAGTGAACCCATCCCCGATTGGGAATCCTGCCTCGTCCCCGCCCCCAAAATATCGGGGACGGGGGTGGGGATGGGGATTGCCCCCTCAGCCTCGCCCCGTCCTGTTGCCATCCCTAGACAAAACCTCCCGTAAAATTAGTTGTTGTATATGAACATTTTCATTTGAATATTAAATGTGTGTTGTATTTAGGGACATTCTAAAAATTTGGTGACAAAAGAACCGGAGCAGGCCAACACCAAACGTAATGGTTGGGATGAACTTAGATAGATAAATTATTGATTGGATTGTGTTGGGTTAGAAACGTCAAGAACCAAAGTACTACTACTGTCCCTTAGGGATCATGATGCAGCAATCACGACCCTTTTCATAAATGCGATAAATTTCAGCAATAAATCCTCTTTTGTTCGTGGTCTTTTCAATCCAAAAGAAATACTCATCACATCTTTTCTCTTGAGAAAATCTGTTGTATCTGCTGGTGGCGACGAGGGTTTTCAAAGTGGTGTGTAGTCAGTCAAGTAAATCATGCATATGTATAGGGACATTGAAAAAGACTTGTATATGAGCCGATTTCTGATAGTAATATATTATTACCTCTTGTGCGTCTATCTCGTAGCAGCTTAAATTCCTTTTTCTCAATGAAGTAGCTAGAAGCGTGGAAGGTGTCGGAGATGGGCCATTGTCCGGCGTAAGGAAGAAGGCCGGCGAGAAAGAACCCGACTTCTGTAGGCGAGAGAAGAACGCCAAGTGTACTAGTAGTAATTACTCATAGATCATCTGTACAAAGTATTACTAATTAAAGTTTTATATGTCGATATCAAAATTTTCAAAGAAAAAAAAATTTAGATATCAAATAAAATGCCGATTTCTCAAATTTATAGGAACGTACATGGAAATTGATAAAATGTCGATATTGATGAATATTTAAATGAACAAATAAATAGTTCACAATTGTTGAATAAGTTAAAATATCTTATCATTAATATTATATTCATAGTGATATTTTGTTGACGTTTTCAAATTTTTTTTGTTGAATTTTCTATGATATATAATGGAAATATCGATTAATCACCTCGATAGTAATGTCACACTCATGAATATATGAAAATATTGTAGAAAATATAACATTACTCCGCTACCTAACTTCTCATGTTTTTTTAAGGCAAAAAAAAAAAAGATCCAAACAAAGTTTTAAATGTGGACGGGAAGGAAATGTAGTCTCAATGGTAGATATTTATGAAAAAATTATATAAAAATATTTAAATTAACAATAAACGTTTCACCATTTTTAAATAAAATTCATAATTATTAATATTATATTTAGTGAAATRCTGTCAATATTTTGTTAGTTTATCTYGCGCTATACTGTGAAAATTTCGAGTCACTATGTCCAACCGAAAATTAAATAACTGAAAGCAATAGTCAGTCTGGTTGTTTCATGTAAGAGACTTTATCAAAACGAAAATTTGAGAGCGAAAAAGACTCCGAAATTGAAAGCATTCTAAAGATAGATTGTGGTGGCGAAAAAATATGGCCAAAGGGCGGATTACGTTATGGGTTTTCACAGCACTATAAATTTCGAAGTCAGAAGTCTTATTTTTCACAAATAAAAAAAACAAAAAAAAAGAAGTCAATCTGGTGGGTTAATATAATTCAAGTCACCGTCCATTATGGCCATCCCGGAGAGATCGCACGCCGCCGCCGCCGCTCGTCGGTTAATAATTCTAGGCATGGCATGGCTCTCCTGTATGGCCTGGTGCAGCTCCGCCGTTGCACCTAACTTTTTTGGTGACTTCTCCGACGGTCGTGGTCGTTCCCTCGCTGCGGCTGCACCGGCTACTCCGGCTAAGGCTGGGGCCGCTCAGGCTGGGATTGCTCCTGAAGCCGCTAAGGTTGGGGCCGCTCCTGAAGCCGCTCCCGCTGGGGCCGCTCCTGAAGCCGCTAAGGATGGGGCCGCTAAGGCTGGAGCGGCTCCTGCAGCCGCTCCTGCTGGGGCCGCTCCTGCCGGTGCCGCCTCGGGCGGGAAGGTTATCGATGTTAAAGCCCATGGCGCCGTACCGGATGGCAAGAAAGTTAGCACACAGGTAAGATAATTGTTTACCATAATGATGCCAACTCAAAAGCTTAAGGCTTAATTGATGGGTTAATTTATTTAATTCATATATACATATCTCAACATTAAACGTGAGCACGAATTGGGTTGAAAATATACAGGCATTCATGAACGCGTGGGTTGAAGCATGTCGTTCAACTGGACCAACAAAACTGCTTTTCTCGGCAGGGACGTTTCTTATCGGACCAGTGGTATTTGCCGGGCCATGCACCGCGTCACCCATGACTGTCGAGATTCAGGGAACTGTCAAAGCTACCACAGATCTTTCTGAATATTCTGGTCCGGATTGGATTCTGTTCGAATCTGTGAACGATCTGACGATCACCGGGAGTGGAACCTTCGACGGGCAAGGTCAGGAAGTATGGAAGTTCAACGATTGTAGTCAAAATCCCCGTTGTGTACTTCTGGCGCACACAATCAAGTTAAACAAGGTGAAAAAAGGGTTGGTAGAGCACGTTTCTTCAGTGAACGCCAAAGCCTTCCATTTCTTCTTGTT